TAACACTTTCACTATTCACTATATACTGCTACTAGTCACTTCAGCTACCACCGGATACCACTCACTTCACTTCACTTGTCACTGGTAGTTCTTCACACTACTACTGGTACTGGGTCCCGAGCTCCTAAGGTAGACTTTAGCAATACTTTACAGTGAGCCGCTTGCCATTTTCCGTTTTGCCTCTTTATTGCATAAACTTTTCACTATAGAAATGGCATAAATTACGATATTTTCTATACAAAACTAATTGCTACACTAACATGCTATACATCATTAAATCGGTAGTCTGGTACTTTATTAGTATATCATAAAGGTTACTCAAAACATTAACATTGTAAAAAGTTATTAAACTTCATTCATAATATTTGGGTACATTAATTCTTCAATTTTTATATAACTATCAAATGCGTTTAATTATACAAAATATTCCTACATTTCTGTAATCTATAAGCCTTATGCTAATTCAATATCATATTTACAACTCTTTTAGAACATAAAATTATTTTCATTATTTTTGGTATGAACTATTACGCAGTTAATTAAAAAAATTCTAGAGAGTTCTACGATAAGACGCGCTGTGATTGGTCGATTTTTTTTAATATAATAAAAGTTGTTTACATTACTTGTTATCAAAACGACATTCTATACAAATATACTAAGAGTTATAAATATGCTAAACAACTATATTAATACACGTTTTCACCGTTTTGTCAGTAATTTCATTATTAATACAAAAAAACAATATTCTTTATAACTTTGTTTCTTAACGTTGTTAGGCCGTCGCGAACAAATATTATGGTGCACCCTATCATTTGTCAAACGGTGTTCATATTGAGTAAAAGTTTCAGATTCTCGCGATAAAATATGACGTTTGCGATCAGCTGTGAGACGTAATTCCGTCTCAGTATAGGTTTCGGACTCGCGAGATAATGTATGCCGTTCGCGGTCAGCTGTGAGACGTAATTCCCTCTCAGTGAAGGTTTCGGACTCACGGAATAGTACATGCCGTTCGCGATCAGCTGTAAGACGTAATTCCCTCTCAGTGCAGGTTTCGGACTCGCGAGATAATGTATACCGTTCGCGATCAGCTGTGAGACGGAATTCCCTCTCAGTGTAGGTTTCGGACTCGCGAGATAATGTATGCCGTTCGCGGTCAGCTGTGAGCCACAATTCTCGTTGTGAAGCAGTTTCAGCTTCTCAGGATAACACATGTTGTTCTCGGTCAATGGTAAGCCTTAGCTCTCGTTGAGAAGAACTTTGAGACGCCCGTGATGTAGCTCGTCTCGCTCTGTCAGCTGCTAATCGCATCTCTAAAGAGATTTCATTGGCTCGAGAAGTTGAGTTACTAACTCTCATAAAGTTTAACCGATGTGCTCTTTCCTCTGCCGATTCTTGAGAACGCACATTTCTCATTCTCTTAGCTTCTCTCGAATTTCGAGATAAAGATAATCGTTCTTTGGTGGTATTGTGTATTTTATTTTTAATCGACGGCATTCAGTTACCTAATAAAATAATCTACGTTAGAGGTCCTAACTATAGCTACCATACACTTAAAAATCTAAATGCCTGCTTAAATAATAAAATGGATCCTAAATAAAACCTTAAATCCAAAATTAAATTCTTAAAAATATATAAGTAGGTACCTAAACTACTTCTAATAGAATGAAATAACGTATTTGATACCTAGGTACCTATTTAAAACTACAGCTAAATAAATAAAAAAAGTTTAATTTATAATTAAGCTAATACCAAGAAATATTTAAACACCACCAAAATAACTAATACCTATTTTATAAAATAACAACCAAAGAAATCTAAAAATAAATTATTAAACGTAAGAGTAGACTAAAAGTCGCGCTGATAAGCACGGTTTGTTAAAATCAATTATTGTCTGTCAATAAGGTCGAACACTCTGAACGTCTATTCGCATCAACAGCCAAATATTGTATGAAGCTCGCACTCTTTTTTTGCGCCCAAAGCAATAAGGGCAACCCACCGGAAAGCGGGGGAGGGAGGCGGTGAATGCTCATAGCATACGACGCAGCTGACTGCGTAATTATGTGGAAACTTTTACCCACTAAACACCGCCTTTAGGGACTGGCTTAACGGTCTAGCTAGAGAACTCTAAGCCGTATCGAACGCGACCCCCCTTGGGTGAAAGGGGGGCGCTAGCGGTGAGTAGCCGCTGGGAAGAATTGGTGCCTATCTAAGGCAGCTTACGAATGGGATGACTAATTATATGGAATTTAGAAGGTGTTGGTTCTCGGTAAGCGCAAGCAGGCGGTCCTGAGGGGACTGAGAAGCGCGCAGTTTGCGTGCTAAAATTGCGATATCTCTTACGTCGATATTGCGGATAGCAGTGTATATTCTATTTACGTTATCGGGGTTCCGCCTGATGTCGGGGCCCTAGTGGGTGAAGGTTAGGAGGCCTGTAGGGTCCCTACGGGGGTCGATATAGGTCCTGAGGTGACTGAGAGTTGCCCTGAAGGGGCATTTTGGATGGGAGAGCCGGGAATGTACGGTCATTGACCAGTGGCGGAAATTTTTTGGCAGCTTTGTTGCCGAGATTGGGGCAAGGCGCGCGAGGGCAGCCTCTGAAGTTGGCCGTATGGCCAGTCTGTCCGCAAAGGACGCAAGCGGGTGGGTACTCGGTATCACGAGGCCGAGGACACTCTTTCGAGCTGTGCGGGTCTAGGCACTTATACGCACCTGGGAGGGGCTGAACAGTTGGCTGTCGCATGCCAGTAGAGATGGCAGCGGTGGCACTGCGCCGGAAAACCAAAGGAATCAAAAATGTTTTAGCGAAGAAATTCTTTTGTTGAGTGCTCTTCTGTTTAATTTAGGTAATTTACTGTATTTGTCTTAATCGATGTTTATCTTTTACCGACTAGAATTATTGTTTTTAAGTTCATAATGTCTATAGGTATAAACTTTTAAATGGCCTTCTAGTTGTTATTCATTTATTTACTATTAACGTTAGCTGTAAGTTTTCCACTTTTCTAGGATCTGCTTGTTTTATTTATTAACCAAAGATGTCTCTGTCAGCGAATCTAGTACTTCTTGCAAACATGTAACTTTTTTCTTTGAATACCGTTTTAACATAGACGATGTTGTCACTAAGATCAGCACCAAATATATTTTTTTTTAATTCTATTTATAATTTTATTCCTTTATATTTATTATACTAATTAATAAGTTGAGACACTTTATTTTTGTTTCACAAAAGCATTTTATTGTAATAATATAAATGTCGATTTTAAAACTAATTTTTTTCTGTGATGAGGGCTTGTTATTTTAAACATAAGTGCCTCCAATTTTTGTTTTTGGTACTTAGAGCCTATTTATTTCTGGTATTCATGCCTCTTTAGAAGTCTCTGTATTAAGCCGCGGAAAAACTGACAGATTTATGAACTTGGCGAAACTATAAGCGTTCCTTGTTGTGTTACTGTGGTATCCTAAAAAACTTACTACGCTGACCAACTAAAATGATTTTAATTGTCTAAGTGCATTTTGCTAACGTTTGTGAGTTTTCCCTTTTTCTTAGGGAAACTATCGATAAAAAGTATCGATATGGTAACATCGCAATTAAGTTGTCCGTCTTATACTCATAACTTTTTATATGTTGACTAGCTTGCCAGGCAGATGTTGTTCTGCCCTTTTCGACGACCCTTTGTCACGTTCTATTAAAAATCCTTAAATTCGCAAAAAAATGTGGGTCACCCATGGGCAAAAAACTATCCTATCTCTCAAGTTGGACCAAACTGCACACGGTGTGCAAATTTGGTAAAAATCGGACAAGTATTTTGGGAGTCCATCGCGGACAAACGACGTGATACGTAATTTATATATACTATTAGCTTGCCAGGCAGACGTTGTTCTGCCCTATTCGACGACCCTTTGTCATGTCCTATTAAAAATCCTTGAATTCGCAAAATAAAATTGTGGGTCACTCATTGGAAAAAAAACTATCCTATCTCCAAATTGGACCAAACTGCACACGGTGTGCAAGTTTGATTAAAATTGGTTAAGTAGTTTAGGAGTCCATCGCGGACAAACAACGTGACACGTTATTTATATATATTAAGATTAAGATAATTACGTTAACTGCAGCCGAAGGACCCAAAAAACCGAAACTAATTTAAAATACTTTATTAAAAATATATTACAATATAATTATTACTACTAGAAAAGAAGTGAAACAGATCGATGCTAGATCTAGAATGAATTTTCATTATTACATTAAAATAAGGTAAAGTAATATTGCAGAGCTCCGATTGCATCCGTTGACGTCAATGCTCACGTTCTGCTGAGTTGCGCCTCGTGCCGCTGCAATGTATCGGGGTCGCTGCTGTTTAGGCTCTTTACCTATGAGGCTATGCTATAACTAGATGTATTTAACCTACATGTGTACGTTAAATATAATAATGTTAGAGATTTAGATGTGTGTGTGCCATAATGACACAAATTTTATTGAGTAGGTGTGCAGTAAGCTGTCTATGTAGTGTTTCCTCCCCCACACCAAAAGTGACAGAACTTTTTTCGTAGCATTAGGCGTATTACTCGTCCATTGGGTTGAATGATGGAGACCACATTCCGGTTACCTACTTGAAGCTTAACCTATGTATTACTATCTCGCTCTCTGTAGGCAGACCCTCTCACTCTAAGTAGTACCTTTTTATAGTTTTGCCAGGATATAGCTATATGTAGCTGCATTCCATTAAGTGGTTTATTTATAAATATCTACATCTTTGTTTACTTCCAAGATATAGTTTCTAAATATTGTATATTTTATACAATTATTTTATATTATTTTTATATGTAAGGTAATGTTTTAAATTTAATAATTGTATAAAATTTCTAGGAAATGTATACAGGTGTAACGGAAATGCGCGTTCATAATTTAAAAACTGCTTCTGCCCATAGATATGAATAATTTCTTCAGGAAATTAACAGTATATCCCAAAAAAATATTGGACCTCCTATACTATTTTGATTAGCTGATGATAAATTTGTATTGTAAGTCCAATTTTTTGGGAATAATTCTGAGCCTGTTTAGGAAATGTGTAAAATTATTTTATCCAAGAATATTTCATACATACACTTGATAATATATTTGCTAGTTTATTGTATGCAATTCCTAAACGGTCGTTACCTAAGAAACATAAAATCAAAATCTATTTAACACCTCGGATGTATACTACTAGGAAAAACCATTCCTGATTTATTCAGACGGACTAAATTTATTTGTGGACAATTATTTAAAAAAAATACCACGAAGACGAAAGGAGCTCCTGTCTTAGCCTTTTGACCTTAACCATCCGAGTCCGAGAGATTATTTAATACATCCTGTTAATTTTAAGAATTAATCTTCCTTCCTCGGTAGAGCTAACCTAAATATGCTAAAAGCATAATATAGCGTGGCTCTACCATGTATAAACAGAGCCCGTTCGGAAACTTGCCGCTTTAAAATATATGTCGATTATATTAAAGTACACTGAATTACTTCTCAAGGGTACGTTTATCAACTTTACTGCTGTAAAATGTCATTTTTTTAAATCGTTTACATAATCGATCATGGAAAATCATAATCGATTTGCACTTTACAACAACTGGTATTTGGTAAGTAGATGCGTAGTCGTAGTATCATCCTCATCTATGATCATCCTCTTAGTAGTCTGTGGTAAGTAGCAGCTGGCAGCACTGATAGCGAACGACGTCTTCTTGACCAGCGACATTTTCGTCGGCTGGCTTTAATATTTCACTTAAAGTGCTTACAAAGTTTGTATTTAATTCATTAACTACACCATTTACTATTTTTATTACTTATTGCTTTATTTTTCAACAGTGATCTGTAGTTTTCTTGTTCATATTATATTGAGTTTGCAACCTCTAATGACAGTCTTACATAACTTGGGATATAACCTGATAGTATCATCTGATTAACAAAATAATATTTTATTATATTTCAGGGCCGCAAAAATGTTAGGTCGTTTAGCGCCTGGTGTTTGCGTCCAGGTGACCATGGGGGTTAACCAACAGCAAAGCCGTAACATGGCTACTTTGAAAGCCATTTCTATGCGGTTGAAGTCCGTAAAGAACATTCAGAAAATTACCCAGTCCATGAAGATGGTATCAGCTGCGAAGTAAGTATTTATCGAACTTAGAAACGTACCTATAGAACTTGAATTAATTTTCTAAGTTTGCTCATTGTAGTTACTGGATTCGCAACATTCACTGCTACTTTATTTAAAAGAAAATTCATTAATTTCTTCATAATTATTTCATCAAAGCCTATCCAAAGTCCACTGCTAAATATAGGTCTCCCTCATAGACATGCTATAATTGCAATGTTTGGTAGAGATGGTTGACAAGAGCATTTTCTTATTATTTTTAGATGTTATTGAAAATATGCTGCAGCCCTTTCCCTGTATTGCTTGTTACAATAGCCCTGTGATATGGTGTTAGCAGGGCTTATAATAACATTAATAAATTTGACAGGTCAGATGTACAACAAAGAAGTGTTTGTATGATACATAAATAATTGTTCCAAATGTTATGTTGCATTAGGTAACCTTTAATTGGAGTTGATAAAATTTGTAATACTTTTGTAACAGGTCATGCTTTTAGTATATTTTTTTATAGTTATATCAATTATAATCTAAAGATTTGGAAATTGATTAGTTCCATTAATATTATGAGCCCCAGATATAGCTTTCCCAGAATAAATATTATAAGATTTTGATTAATAACCAAAATCTGTATTAAGTTTATTGAATTCTAGAAGAATTGTTGAAAATGGAGCAGGTACTGGATGAACAGCTCCCCTTTTATCAATTAATATCATTAAGATCAGTTGATATAGCAATTTTTCTTTTTATTTAACTAGAATTTCATCTATTTTAGGAGCTAGTAATTTTATTACAACTACTAATATACAAATTAATCATATCATTCATATACATCTATTACTAATATATGAATTAAACACAGAAATTGTAATAATAAGACAATAGAAATGAATTAGCGCTCGAATACTTCCAAAACTGATGTAGCCACATCTTACCGTATTATAAAAATATGCAATGCACAATGATATCTAATATTTCACATTACATTGCTTGGCGAGTTTGTCAACGTCGCATGTATCGCGTATTACGGTAGAACAAAAGCAGCAGTGGTAATTGTACACTACGAAAAGTAATAAATGAGTTTACAAAGGTAAATATCATAGAAAACTATTCATCTAGATGTAAATTAGTCAAAACAATGATAATTAGTAAATAATAATCAACTTACCCATGAAATGTTATGTCTTTATTAGTTGAATTACACGTCTTTGATGAGTTTTTACAACTGATTATGCTGCAGTTCACCATCGTATGTGAATTTGTTGTATAAATTTATAATAACAAATTTACATATGATGTTCCCCGCCTTATGGTGAATGATGTAAGGGATCTAAGGACTTCTATGATATTTATTGTGTGATGATGATGTTCCCCGCGCAACTAAATCACAAAATGGTGAATGATGTTCGTCAACACATCATAGCGGCCACAAAGACACGCATCTAAGCGACTTCTATTATCTTATTATTACGATTTCTGCGGAATTAAACAATTAATCATATATCATTTGATCATGATTACCCCCATGCCTCGAAAAGCATGTAAAGCCGTTGGTAAAGCCAGACCGCGCGCCGGTTGTGCCGGATTGGACTATGAGAGTGTGGGAATAGTGATTGCTTGCGCACTATATTTTTGGGCACTAAAATTCTGTCTTATGAAAATGGCTGATTCTCAGTTGAGACTGGCCGGCGTGACCGAAATGTCTGGAGGGGTATCATAATTAAATTTCGAGTAATTACTTTTATTTTGTCCTCATTATTTCAGATACACTCGTGCTGAACGTGAACTGAGGGCGGCTCGCCCATACGGCGAGGGTTCGGTGATGTTTTATGAAAAAGCAGAGGTAAAACTTATACATAATTATTAACTGTTGGGTTAATTATAACGTATATAATTTTCCTTGTTGCTAGAGCTCCTTTTCATCCTAGAAGTCCATCTGAGTAGGAGCTACCCTCTTTTCTATTACTGGCACAAAACCACCCACTGTGTTTCAGTTTGAAGAGTAAGATAGACCGTATTATTGTATTTCATCTTAGTCCTCAGACTTCGTGGTAGGACTCCTGTTCTGTCTAGTAATCTATCTAACTACCACTCTCTTACCTATTTCTGCCACATTTGAGCTTGCACTGTCATGTTCCGGTCTGAAGGGTATAGAGAGCCTTTATTATTACAGGCTGAGAGCATTCCAACTTAGTCCTCAGCTGTGGCAACGCATCTGGTCACAAATACCCAAAATATATCACTCATATATTTCTTCATTCAAGTCGATGCTTAATATTTATACAGGTTAGAAAAATAACGAGCTCATAGTTCACCTGATGGTAATTGGATAGTGATCTTTTAATTAAACTCAAGTGATAAACCAACTTCAAATAAAAAAGACTATGGATGGAATATCTTCTCAGAAGTAAGATGGAATGCTTCACAGTCTGTATTTATACTGGCTAACTATATCAAAATGTTTAACAGGTGTGATGTCGCTCTACGGTCTAAGATGAGATGTCGACTTTCAATTTGTGCACACATCAAGTAAAATTAAAATTGAAATGAATGAACACAATGTTAGCTTAAATGTATTACTGTGATGCATATCACTGAAAACTACATAGTTCAGTCGTTTTATAGATTAGCATGTACATACACATAGACAAACAGACAAAATTTAAGATATTAAAATATGTGTAGATTTCAATTACTGAATAATTTGTTTGTAAAACACCTATTTATCTTTAAAGTAAGTAAGTGATACATTATACTGTGTGAGCAGCCTGTACTACTTATTCAAACACTACAATATAATAAAACGGAAGTGTTTTTTGTTTGTTTAACCTTTCAATGGGCATACGATCGGATCCAACCAAGGCCATGTTGCGTCAAAATTCAAGCGGTGGGATCCGACCGCACCCACTCACAGCACTTTAACCCAAAAATTCTTACATTTAGAGACTACTTTTCTGTAAATAAGTTCGGCATTATAGAATCTATGCCAATTTTTCTATCCTGTGGTCTAAACAAAAGTCAATTACTCTATGTGTTTTTATTTTTCTTCCACTGTCAATTTACGACATTTGCCGTCAATATGAAAATGAGGCAATTTTATGGTAAATTGATTTGTTTGGACCACAGGATAGAGAATTTTGTGTATATTCTATAATGTCAAACTTCTCTATAAAAAAGTAGTCTTTAAAGTGCTGTGTTTTAGGGCTTAATGTGTCGTTAATTGAGAGTAGAATGAAAATACATATAGTAACTGACTTTTGTTTAGACTACAGGATAGAAAATTTTGTATAAATTCTATAATGGCCAACTTCTATATAGAAAAGTAGTCTCTAAATATAAGTTTTAATGGTTTAAATTGCTGTGGGTGGGTGCGGAGTTGCTTGCAACCGTTCGGGATTCGACGGACGCATCCAACTGCATGGGATTTTTATGGGAATTGAAGGGCTAAACATGCTAATCTCTGGAACTACCAGTCCGATTGGAAAAATCCCTTTTGTATATGATAGTGAGATTCATAAGAAATTGTATATACTATCTAGAATTAGACTACACTTCCCATCTGGCTTTAAATATTGAGTTATGTTGAGCAAGTCGGAAGGAAAAGCGCTTCCGAACTGCTTTATCTGCGTGCGCCGGCGTAATGGTTAGTGATCTTTACTCCATCTGAAAAATATTCCGCAATACCAAATGTTAGTTTCCTGTAAATAAGCCATAATAATGTATTTCGTGACAAAAAAAATATTGAAAATTAAAAAGCGATTTCTCAGCGTTATTATTAGGCATTGCATATAAACGAAAGTTACTTCATCATCAAGATAATTTTATGAAGAAAAACTGCTTTTTTGTAGCAAGCTGTTTGGACGCATAGTTTAAGAGATACTGAAAAATTTAAATAATCGAATACTCCCCTAGCCGCCCGATGAAAACCGAGAGCGACCAGCAGTGAACGCCTATATATGTGAGGTATCATTGTCGCGGCTCAGAAACGAGATATAAGTAGGTGAAACCGCAGGGCACAGCTAGTACAATAATATATAAATAATATTAATGAAAACGCACATACTTAAATGTCTGTTTTTCTCTTCAGGTAGCACCCCCGGAAGACGAGCCGAAAGAACTGTACGTCGCCATAACCTCTGATAGAGGTAAAAATTCCTTTTTCACAGCAATTTTAAATGTATAAAATGCACTTTGCGAACTGTAAGGAACAGAATGTGGGCTCTACAAGGTTCATCATCATCATCATTATTACAGCCCTTTACAAGTCCACTGCTGAACATAGGTCTCCCCTAAGGAATGCCACAAAGCATGGCCCTGAGCGACCAGCATACATAGACTTCCTGCATTTCCTTACCAGGTTGTTACTCCATATAGTGGGGGGCCTCCCCACACTAGAAAGGTTACCGTCAAGTTTATTTTTTATGTTTATTAGAAACCTAATAAAATGAATAAAATGTTGCTTAACATTGACATACCTACCTTAAGCCCATTAGTTTTTTCTGAAGCCAGTCTTATTTTTTTCCTATGGATTGTCTATGACTCTCTACCCAATATCATCCCATGGGTGTCGTAAAGGCGACAGAAGTAAGCTGAAACAGGGGATGGGCAAGGACCACCTTTCAAATAACAATTCATAATAAAAAACCTAAAAGGCCTCCTGTGACCATGGGTGCTGCAAAGCACCCGAAACGTCAGGAATTAAAAATAAATAGCATTAAACGAGATAAAATCCGTAAAAGTAGTTTTATTATTATAAATTATTTTATTTCATTTAAAATATTCCATCTCTAAAATGAATAAATAAGTACTCATATTTTATTTCAATTTAGATTGTTTAACAAAAGTATGTGTCGCATGTTTGACGTCTATTCTTAAATATTTTTAGTTACATTGATTTTTTGTAGGAATGAGTTATATCATGAACAATATATCATTATTCAATGTGCATATAGATTTGAAAGCTTGCACTGGAATATCTTGGTGGACTTTCCTAACTCTCACACTCTTGGCTCGTACTCTATGCCTAGGTGTGGGGCATAATAAAGAGTAACAGACTAAAAAGTAAACAAACTCTATTGCTATACCTTGTTCCCAGGTCTCTGCGGTGCAGTGCACACGGGTGTGTCTAAAGTGATCCGTAACCGTCTCAGCGAGCCCGGAGCTGAGAACATCAAGGTGATCTGCGTGGGAGACAAGTCGCGCGCTATCCTACAGCGATTGTACGGGAAGCACATCATTAGCGTGGCTAATGAGGTAGGTTAAAAGATTGTTTCAAACTTTCATCGACATTACCACGTTTTTATTTAGTTACTTTCTTGTTTGTCTGTGGATTTGTCTCTTGTTCGGGGTGAAATCTTGCAGATTTGAAAATTTTAACATTGCTTAGAATTGGATGACAATGTAGGTATATTAACAAAAAGCAGTATATTAAATTAATTAATTTTTTTTTAATACAAGATTTTTATTATAAAGACTTATTATAAAGGGTGTTAGTGTAAATACCGTTGTCCATGAAATCAGTGGTTTGATTTCACTTATAGAACGTAAATTCAATGAAAAATAACAACATTTTTTTAGTAAAATCTCAATTTTTCCTTAATTCCTCAATTTTTGCCTGTTCTAAGCCAGGATGAAAGTATGAAGGAAAAGTTACATCACAGGTTATGTGTACCTATTGTGTTTTTATGTTTGTTGTGTAGGTAGCTAGCGCGGGCGGTGTACTTCACAGTGATTACGTCACTCGGGCGCATAGGGTATCCATGAATTTACGGACGGTGTCGGACAGAAACTTCAAATTTTATGAAAGAAAATAGTGTTTTTTTTTAATTCATTTACGTTCTATAAGTGAAACCAAACCACTGGTTTCAAGGACAACGGTGTTTACACTAACACCCTGTATAGTTTTACATTTGATAAACAAAATAACTTCTAACTACGTTTTTAAAAATGTAGTTTCTAATGGGGTTCGGGTTTAAACTAGAATCTATTATACGATAGTTGTTGGAAGTATTTGAACTAAAATGTAAAGTGTAGAATTTGACATACAGTTACTGTTACCGTCTCTCAAAGTCCACTTTTGAACATAGGTCTCCCCCATAGATAACCTCATAGGGGGATAGTTGCCACGCATCAGCATTTTTTTCTGATCTTCTGATTTTTCCCTCTGTTACCTCTTGGCACCCACAGGATGTGATATAGGGTAGTGAATGTTCACACACTGCCACTATACGGTATCGGTTTAGTTAGAAGTCTAGAAAAAGTATATCTATTGTGGTATTAACCTTGTCTTCTTTTTGTCAACATATTTTTAATGACAGATTGGTCGCCGTCCCCCAACTTTCCTCGATGCTGCCAAGCTAGCGAATGCAATCCTAACCTCGGGCTATGACTTTGGCTCGGGTAAAATTATCTACAACAAATTCAAGTCTGTGGTGTCTTACTCCCAGGCTAACCTGCCTTTGTACAGCCAGAAGGCTGTTGAGGTAAGACAATTTTTCTGAATTTTAATTTAAGAGTTATTAAAAATGTAAAGTTTATTGCTAAAGTGTTTGCACCATTAAGCCTATATTTGTCACTGCTGGGCATGCAATTCTTACTGGAGAATGAGGAGGAGGCATTCACGATTTTGTCTACGACTAAGATGGTTGACTTTGTAACAAGGTGAAATATTTGATAGATTTAATTAATGGGAAATTATTTTTTTAAGAAAAATGAAAGTGTAAATGTTTTTTAAATTTAGTTATATTTTATATTAATTATATTAATTAGGTCATAAATTAAAAAATTAACTACAGATATTGTCCTAAAAGTGGAAAAAATTAAAAAGAGTTATAAATGTACAAAAAATTAAACTGATCGATAGAATCAGGCGGAAATCCATTATAATAAAGATACTAATAGTTACTTTGCAACCATCCGCTAAATTAAATTAAATGACGTGTCTTCTCTAGATTGAAGAGCACCTCCCGCCCTCCCATCAATTGCGTGCACTAATCCTGTCACCACTACCAGTCTCCCAACACCACTATTCTAGGAAAGACACACCATCGACGATAATACGACACGTGTTTCGCCTTTACACGAGGCATCCTCAGGTGATGTTGCCTCTACGGCGGCTGACCGCTAAGACTTCACTACGACTTCACTTAGCGGTCAGCCGCCGTAGAGTTTTTTATTAAATCAACATCGCCAATGTGGTGACAAACGAACACACAGTCCACCTGATGGTAAGTGTGGTTGCTGCGGCCCATAGACGTCTACATCTATCCTCGATTACAAATCAAAATGCAGATGCGTTGTCACCCGTGAGGACTAAGATGGAATGCCTCATTTCCAGTAAAAAGGGTCTCCGGTTCTCTACACTCATCATACGAAATACAGCAGCATTAAGCTACTATTTCACGCTGGTATTCTGTGAGAGCGTGGTCCTTCCCCGGTCGAGCCGACCCATTCGTGCTACAACTATACTAATATAACTGCAGCATGGCTCTACCACATATACATGAAGATTATTATTAACGCTTATTATCAAACTATGTTTCATCAAAAGATTGTAATTTTCTGACATGTAGGATTTCTCAGCATTTTTCTTTCATAGTTGTGTACACGGAAAATTCAGATGAGACCACAATTAAAGTATATGATAAACTGTAACGACCATAGCCCAATAGTTGAGGATTTAGTATCTTGGAAAGTTATGGATTCTAATCCACCATTCGACTACTGTCATAAACAACTGCTGATTAAAGCAGTTCAAGCTCACTTGTATAGCTTAACCTGGAGTATTAGTAATGTTGATAGTGACGACGGGTAGGACCACGCTCTCATAGATGCCACAAAGGATGATGTTCTATGATATCTCTCATATCAATGTTAAATAGCAGCTTAATGTTTCTGTTTTTCGTATGGTGAGCGTATAGAACCAGAGACCCGCTTTTACCAGAAACGAGGCATTCCGTCCTAGTCCTCAGGGGTGACAACACATCTGCATTTAGATTTTTAACCTGCTAGCTCAGAAAGAACAGCAAACAGTTAATCCAGAATAAATGTAGCTGTCCTTGCCACAGCATCCACTTATTGTTGTGAGCTCGTGCTCAGACAGTGTTTTTGTTTGTCACCCTTATTCTATTTTAAAAAAGAAACGGTTTCATTTTCTAAATTATTACATAATATTTCAGTCTGCACCAAAACTCGCAGTTTACGACTCTCTCGACAGCGATGTTCTGCAGTCTTACATGGAGTTTTCTCTCGCTTCGATGGTGTTTTATGCAATGAAGGAAGGCGCCTGCTCTGAACAATCATCGCGTATGACGGCTATGGACAACGCTTCTAAGAACGCAGGAGAGATGATCGAGAAACTTACCCTGACCTTCAACAGAACCCGCCAGGCTGTCATCACCAGGGAACTCATTGAGATCATCTCTGGTGCTGCCGCTTTGGAATAGAAAACTATGGTACTCGGAATTGTTTGGCCACAGCCATCTTGAATCTAAAATGTATAAGCAAAAATGTCATTTATCCTTTATAAACATTCTATTTATTGTTTTTATATTTTTTGTCTGTAATCACTAATCATACTAATGTCTACAAATGATTTCGAGATATTTATTTGTAACTGCCAGTCTTCATAGCTAGTGTACATTTGCTGACATTCCCAGAACAGTGTTTGAGTGGATCGGTGGAATTACACGCATAATGCAAACTGGCTTCAATACCTTTCGCCGGTGCTCTTGGACACGTTCAAAGGTTGGCCGTCATTGGAACAGTGTTATGTTATGGATAAAGTGGTGGTTAGCAATAAAGTATTATAATATAGACTCTTTAGTTTCATTTCTATAAATTAGCAATCCGCCTCGGCGCCGTCCGGGTGATTTCAGGATCTCGACAACAGCGCCACCTACTCGGGTCCAATTGTGAATTTAACGTAGACAGAGAAACCTATAGACAAATTGACTCTTTCGCATTTGCACATGAGAGAGAGAGAGAGCGGTGTGATTGTTTGTCCCTTTCTGCGTGCCGTTTTTTTCTGTTTAGCAAACTACACTTTGCTAAACAACTTTGACAGTTCGTAGCGATCTAAGGCGTTTACGAGTTGGTTTAAGTGAGAAAAAAGTGTTTTGTGCGCTTAAGATTGGTGAATCTTGTTCAGTTCAGTTCTTAGAACAATTTTTTTATCTAAAACTACGTTATCGTCCTTTCTCACTCTAGGCCACGCTAATCATTAGTCTATAGGTTTCTCTGTCTACGGAAAACTATTCTCGAATCAACTTAGAATTTTCGTTATTTTTCGTCGTCGCAACGCAAATATTTTGACACATTTCCGGCCACAGCGCTGCGTCATCGCAAGTAAACCGTATCAATTTCTTTAATGGTACTTATTTTACTCTGAAAATTAAACTCAAAAGAAGAAACCAAATTAGCTTGCGTGATATCAACGCACAAACAACCGAACTCTGCCGATCCGGGGTCACAAACAGTACACCGCGTTGCGTCAACGCAGCTCACCGTGTGTACACTATGGTTATAAGCATGTAAAACGACGAAGTGACAGCGCTACGTTGACGCAACGCGCCGTGTGGACTCACCCTATCACACACAAATACTTCACCAATATTGGTCCAGCTGTTTAAGAGGACTTTAGTGACAAACACGTACATATATTATAAAGACTACCGTGTAGTGGCAGTGTAAAAATATCCATAATTTCATATTCGCCCATAAGTGGATGAGTAGTGGCTTCTTCGGGATAACTAGAATAAAAACGGTTGCCAAACCACATGTCAAACTTGCCGACTGTGCCAAATATCCCTCCATAGATTACTGTGTAGTCCCTGGATGACGGACTTTTGCTCGGTTTTTTTTTTGAAATGGTATAATAGAAATTACAAACTGATGAAATATAAATAAAAATTTTCGATCTTCTCGATCATTAATTTTGGTTAAAAAATATAAGTACTAAAAAAGGGCTTTAAATAATATATTTTCTCACAAAAGAAGGAAAAAAAGTCAGTCCGGAGACATTTGAACTCAAACCGGCGTTCTATGATTTCAGCACCGCTCGATATCCAATTTGAGCTGTTATAACCTTTTAGGCACTGGCAAAATTTACTTTCGTATTCTAATGATATTGTAGCAGTTTTTTATTGCCTAAAACATGGATAAAACCACATTTTCTAAAAATGAGTCCCAGCTAGATCGATTCATTGCCCCAGAAACCCCTTGCTATATATATATATATATATATATATATATATATATATATATATATTGACTATGGTAAGTGACCGTCGTTGTCTATGAACATCTGCCGCACTAAGATAATTGCATGTGCATTGCCGGGCTTTTAGAAAGGAGGTAGGTTCTTTTCTTACGTCCCTAAGCAGTTTCGGTCCACAGTGTTTTCTGCCTCGAAGGACCTATTCTACAGTGGATCATTTGAAGCAAAAAATGCCGTGTAATTGTTACGTTAGCGGACCGCTAACCACCAAGATGTTCAGCAGTGGCAGTGGACATTGATTGTACGAAATAATAATAATAAAAACATGACATGAAATATGACTTACAGAACTAAGAGAGATATTCAAAAACAAAATCCAATGTCAAATTCTGAGTCTTAAAAGTTTAAACTCGATATTTATTTAAATCTTTTTATCACATTAATAATTAGAGTAACAAAGGGCGGAGTTAATGCCTACTGGCCTATGCTACTGGCATTCTCTGCCAGTCAATTCGTCGAGAGATGCGATGGTTTCTGAATATCTCCTTTTTCTGTTCATGCAATTCGGGGCATATGTTGAAGTTCAGTCACTACATTTTTTTTTATAGGAGAGAAATTTGTAAGTGATTAACGCCGCCTATGAACAACTGCAACACCAGGGGAATTGTAAATGTGTTGCCGGCATTTTAAAAAGGAGTAGGATCTTTTTTTGAAGGTCCCTAAGTCGTATCGGTCCGGAAAAATCTCTGGTGGTAGTAGACACCACACAAGAAAGTTGTGCGAGGAAGAAAAGGTGGTGAACCGCCGGTCATCCAGATGGTATGGATGGACGCGAGTTTTGTCGCGATGCGTTTATGGGGCTGGAATTAGTCTGAACAATTCCTCGGAGCATTCCCTGTGGTAGATGCGATAAAATACGCAAAGAGATGCAACATCTCTTCAGTGCCAGTGAGTCAAGCCGATCGGAAAGAGCTCGGTCGCCGACGATTCGAACAGCTCTGCGCTGGATGCGGTCAAATGGAAGGAGCTGGCACTGGGGAGCTCCGGCCCAGAGATGGGAACAGTATTCCATGTGCGGCCGAACCTGCGCCTTGTAAAGTTGCAGGCGGTGAGCCGGCATAAAGTAGTGTCCCGCTCTGCTGAGCACGCCAAGCTTTTTAGAGGCCAATTTGTCCTTCTCTTCTAAGTAACCACGAAACTGCACATCACTCGATATGTCAACGCCGAGGATACCCCTGTCGTCTGCATACCTAGCAATGAATGCTACCGGTTTGCAACATGTCATTGATATATAGAAGAAACAGCGTTGGTGATAGCACGCAGCCTTGTGGAACACCAGCGTGAATGAGCTTTTAATCGGAGCATGTACCGTCTACTACGACCTTGATGCTCCGATCAGCATGAAAACTGGTGATCGAATTGCACAATTTCTCGGGAAGCGCTTTGTGCCAAACCCGATCGAAGGCCTTCGCTATGTCCAAACTAATGGCCAACGCCTCCCCCTTGGACTCTACTGCCTCCGCCCAATTGTGAGTTAGGTAACCCAGAAGATCACCCCAGCCGAGCGCCCGCGACGGAAACCGTATTGGCAGTCACTAATCAGCTGGTGATCCTCAAAGTACCGCATGAGCTGGCTGTTAATAATGGATTCCATTATTTTAGAGAATAAGGAGGTGATGGCGATAGGCCTATAGTTGGACGGATCAGAGCGGTTACCTTTTTTAGGGATCGGGTGCACGAGGGCTGTCTTCCATGATTTCGAGACTACGCCGAGAGAGTAGGAGGAAAATACACGTTAAAACCGCCTGTTTCTGTTTGTTTCAATTGGAGGGACGTCTTCCGGCCCACTTGACTTGTTGACGTCCAGGGAGAGGAGTGCTCTGCGCGCTGAGCGTTGGGTAAACGGGACATCCTGCATGGAGCACTCACTCTGCGGGATGGTCGGTGGTGTTCTCCCCTCCCCCCCCCCGTCATCAAGAGTCGAGTTAGAAACAAAGAGAGAGAGCCCAGCAGATCGGCTTTGTCCTTTGCGGCATGGGCCAGTGAGTCATCCTCCCTGTGGAGAGATGGTTGACAGAAGTTCCCTTGGACAGCCTTGGCGGGAGACCAGAATGCACGCATTCCCGAAGGAAGACGAGATAGTCTCTCGCCAATTCTGCAGATGTGCTCTGACTTTGCCTTGACAATGACACTTTTGAAGGACCTGGAGGCAGAATTGTACTTCTTTTTAAGAGCGCTGGTATTTGCACACCATGTATGTGCTGAGCAGGACAGGATTATAGTCCCAGAGTTTATGATTCCATTTTCTCACTCTCATAGTTTGATGGATAAAGGTTAGAGAACAGGAGAACGATCGCCGTAGAAAATAGTGTCCCAGAAATATGGACACCATAAGTGAGGCGCTGCGATCACTAAGTTCGGTCAATAAGTCATTTTCAGTCTATTTTTCCGATCAGATGCTAAACCACTTGCACATCCACGCACAATAAAATATTTCTCCATTTCTTAATGTTTCTTTTTGTGAAAAACTACAAAATTAAGGAGCATGAAAATTTTGTCATTAAAAATGAAATGAATATTTGTACGTACATTATTCAACTAACTTCACCTACTTGTACTCATAAACAGCTAACTTCGCAGTCACTACTCACCGACGTCAGCGCCGCTATACATTCTACAATTTTCAAGGACAGGCGGGCTATGCTAGTACGTAGTGATCGTTCTCCTGTGCTCTAACCTTCATGGTTTGATGAAACAGCAATCTGACACGACCGGAGAGAGATCAGACGCAGAGTCAAAAGCTTTGTGAAACGCCACTAACTTCTTGCCCAGTCACTTGTTGCTACTAAGAATTTCTTGATGGAAAACTCTATTATTAATTTTTTGCCCGACCCGGGATTTGTACCAGATACCATGACTTACGAAGCAGTCAGTTTGATTATATATATTTTTATTATGAAACTTAGACCCAATTATAAGATATATTTTTTCCTGACAATAAATGAAATTTTACTTTTTTCTTTTCAAATTCTAAAGGTCGGTATTAAAGACCTCAAATGTTATAAGGAGCTTACAGGCTAAAAAAATAATGATACTTCCATTTTTTAATATAATAATGGTGACAAGCGAGCACACAGCCCACCTGATGGTAAGTGGATGCTGTGGATCATAGACATCTACATCTATCTTGGAATAAGAATCAAAATGCAGATCTTGGAATAAGAATAGAAATGTCACCCCTGAGGACTAAGGTGGAATCTTTTGTATGATGATGCTGTGACCCTCCAATTAAGAATCAAAATGTAGATGCGTTGTCACCCCTGAGGACTAACCCCCTGGAATGTCTCGTCTCCAATAAAAAGGGTTTAAGGGTAAGACTATTAGGTACTTGTAATTTGAAAACTAATGAAACACCAAGATACTATATGTAAATTTTTATTTCTATCATACTTTCAAATTCCATAGCAGTCTTAATTTTAAATTATTCTAAACCGTAAAAATATTCAACCAAGAATAAGCCGATGTTGTTTTTTATATTCCAGCGAATATATAGCAGTTTCATGTTATAAGCAGGTTTCCACTGTGTCATGTCGTTTATCTGCACAACTGTAGCCTCTGTGTTCCTCTCGCTTCAAAACAGTAACCTTGCTCTCATTAGATCGACAAAAAGTTATAATTGCAAGACAATATTTAGGATTTCACACATTTAGTAATTTTGTGGCCTTTAGGCAATACATTAGAAGACCCATTCCCTTCTTAGCACTATATTTCGCAATAACTTATGCTTCGGATTCAGCTTTATAAATATACAAGTCTTAAAACACTGAACTGTACGTATGTCTGTCGCAACGACTCAGTGAAAACCCGCCTTTATAGTATTCTAAAATAAAAACCGGAAAAGTGTAAACCTGACCTTATAATTGACAGGTTATTTATTATATACAATGAAAGTTTCATGTTGTTCTATAAACATTTTAATGCAAAATACGAGACGCGAGTTTCGAGGCATTAATATATGAATCGATTTTTTTGAATATCCGGTCCAATTTTAAAATATGCAACCTTAAATATAGGTTAATACATTATAATATATATTATTAAATAACAATGTCAATCTTATATAATGTGAACTTAATTTGCGTATTGTACATGTCAAGTTTCAAATATAAAACAAAAGTACCTAAAATAGCTTACTAAAATTACAAAATAATAGTACAAATTCTAAGAGTAAATTTAATTATTGTCCGAAAATATATTTAAGGCGACGAACCGTCAGCCTTCTGCTGGATAGATTTGAATGTCAACTCCGAGTTAAATTAAGAGTTAAGCAATTATGCACACCTAACATTTAAAGAGTTACCGTTGCTTTTACTAATAACAACACATTTATGTAAATAGTAACAGAAATTGAAAGTAAAAGAAAATGAGTAATTTTTTTTAATAGCACAATCCACCTAATGATAAGTGGATGCTGTGGTCCACAGGCATCTACATCTATCCTCAATTAAGAATTAAAATGTAAATGCCTTGCCACTCCTGAGGACTAAGATGGAATGCCTCGTTTCCAGTAAAAAGCGGTCTACGGTTCTCTACACTCACCATACGAAACATAGCAGCGTTAAGCTACTATTTTACGCCGGTATTCTGTGAGAGCGTGATCCTACCCCGGACGAGTAAACCCATTTGTGCTGCAACCATAATATTAGTTGAAAATTAACTAATGTTACCCTATTTATAGGTCTAAAATTCCATAGTTGTACAACTTACAATAAATAAACTACGTATGTTTGTTCATACACGATTTGGACATATTCAAAATGATTGAGAAATCTTTGTATAAGTTGGATAGTAGAAGTTAAGAAAAAAGTAATACTTTAGTGTGTGATGACAATAATAGATTTTCTCACATTTAAGTCTTTGATACATGATATTAAAGGCATTTTAATGCTTACAAAAGTCCTAGCAAACCTAGCAAAACCATTAACGATGTCTCTGAAATCGTTCACATTACCAGTTAAAATAAAAGAAAAGAAACAGAACCACAAAAGTCAAACGGTTTATCTTTTATTGAATAAGCATCAAAAGTTCGTAATATTGACGAGTCAATCAACGATCATAATAGTAACGTAGTATGAATGTATCAACGATATAATTATATGAATATATTTACAATGTGATGCGACGCCGCCTGCGACGCTCTAGAAGTAACAAGTTATGATTTGTACCTGAAACGGGAAACAAAATTATATAATTATTAATATACTGGATGAATGAGCCGTGGTAGCTCAGATGGTTAACGCTCGCTGTAAATATAACAGAACGCGAGTAATCCGGGTTCGATCCCCGCCGATACCAATGAAATTGTTAATTGTAATTTTAGTCCTGATTTACCACGTGCTCGGCGGTGAAGGAAAACATCGTGAGGAAACCTGCATGTCTGAGGAATAAGAAGTAAAAAATATTTCGAAGACATGTCAAGTTCGTCAACACGCATTGGGGCAGCGCGGCGGACACTTCCTTGCCCTAAAACCCTCTCAGAAATGAGGGGAGGCCTGTGCCCAGCAGTGAGTCGTATATAGGCTGAAACTTTACTTTTTCACTTAACTTTTAACATACTGGATGACTATTTTTACCGTCTGGAAAAATACTTTTTTACGTTTAGTGACACATCGATACTTGTATTTATTTTTCCCCATACCGACTGGTAAGAAAGCTAAGCAACAAATAAAATTACTGTAATGAGTTAACTATCTGGTATAATAATAATGTGCGAACTTTATACTAATTGAAATATACTGTAAAGTAAATACTTCCAACTATTAAAAACTTAAAAGTGACATTCGTTGTTAATTCGTTTAATGTTGATGGAGAAAAATACAAGAACAAAATTTATAGCACATTGTGAGGGCATTGCTAAGTCATAAAAAAGAATCAAGGTCAAAATAGAAATGGTTAAACACAAGCATTGTATTAAAACAAATTATATTATTGGAAATATTAAATTGGAATTAATTCTATAAAACAATTGATAATTATGCTATTAAAGCAAGAATCCAAAGTCCGTGTCGAGCTGACAATGTCTCTGACCCCCAAGTCGGAGGGAAACAGCAAAGCATACACAAAAAAAAAACGATCAAAACCGCGATCGTAGTTGAGTTCTATTTTGGAACACAGCCTAAAATAGCAGCGCCTACGACATCGATTGTCACACTACGATGATATCGAAACGAGACGGAGCGCCCGATATAAATAGACACAGGTCCAACCTCGACAATCGCTCGCGCGGTACTGAATTCAGATGACCGGCGCAGTGAAATATATGGTACTTTTATTAAATTAATTAAAAAGTAATAGTAACGATATAAAAAGTAAAAAGTTGGGTGTGGCAGAAGAAGCACGAGAGTAGAATAAACGCAGTAGAAATGCGGTCGCTAAGGAGTATGTTAGGGCTGAATCTGAATGACAGGGTAAGAAATTATGTAATAAGAGAAGAGTGTGGTTTGCAAGATGATGTTGTGACCAGGATTAAGAAAGGAATGCTTCGGTGATTTGGTCATGTGGAAAGAATGAATGAGGAAAGAGCGACAAAGAAAATTTATGGTGCAGAAGTAAATGGCAGAGTCGGAAAGAGACGTCCTAGGCGAAAATTTATCGACCAAATTGGCGATTTATTGATAACGGGCCAAATTAGGAGTACCCTTAACCGACGAGCATGTATGCGTAGGTGTATGGATGTGAAGGAGGCAAGAGAGGTGTGTCAGGATCGTGCCAAATGGAAGTCTGTAGTCTCTGCCTACCCCTCTGGGTGACAGGCGTGAGTGTTTATGTATGTATAAAAAGTAAAAATCATAGTATAGTTTAGGGCTTGGATCGAAGCTTTTTCGTAACGAAAATGTATTTTATCATTACTAAAGTATAGGATATTTGTGAGATAAAAATATTTTTTTGATGGTAGATATTCAATGAAATCTACAGATTAGAGCTCCCAAATCATGTCTCTCAAGAGTTTTGGCCTAAATATGCATCAGGAGATGATTATTACTAAATCAATAAATAAGTCATCTAAAAATTGCTTTGAGCTTATTATAGTAGAGAAAGCGAACTATTTTTACCAAGTAATTGTTATTTCAAGCAATGAACGGAAAACATATACATAATTTCAAAGAGGAAACCTTGTAATTTCGCGTTTTTTTTTTGTAATACTTCTCTTTAGCGCGTTAGCTTATTCTAAAAATGTTGGCTGTAACCATGTGTCGGCCGCCTGGCTCCTACATAACGAAAGAAATGTGTATGCGTCTCGCTCGCTCGTACTTCTAGCATTCATGAGTTTTACGCAAACGCCGTTGGATGAATTGTTTTATTATTTTTTTTGGATATTTTGCCTATCAAGTAATATTTTGTTATATTTTACAAATACTTTCGAGGATAGCTTCTATTCCACCTAAACAAAACACTATATTATCTACCAGACGGTACCCAGTATATTAAAAACTTATATATACTCGCGCTCGAAATTCGACCTTAGTTTATTAAATTTATAGGTTTTTATAGTAAGCAAGTTTGTACTTCGCTTTCAAAGGCACATTAATATATTAAACATAGGCATGTAATATATAAAATAACAGAAACAATTTAAAGGTTTCTTTTTCAATAGTGTACGGAGTGTATGTCAATTTAAACCAGCGTTTATATTGTAAGTTATGTAACCTTTTCTTTAAGGTGCACTTACGCTTTTAAAACAGTAAAAAAAAATAGCCTGAGGGTAATAACATTCATTTGCTTGTACTTACTCTAAGACAATGAATGTATAAACGTTAACAAACTATATAACTTGACCAAGGGACAACTATGTGTTTGACATGAGCAGTATTAACGCAAATAATGTACGATCATCGTCATCATCCCTTCACAAGTTCGCTGCTGAACATAGGCTCCTCCAAGGAATGTAACAAAACACGGTCTTGAGCCACCTGCATCCATCGACTTCCTGCCTTACCACCTCGCCACTTTATTCAGGGTTCTAATCTTCGCAGCATTTTCTAGTTATAAGATAAACTAACTGTGTGCACGTTTCTCACTATTATTTTATAAACTGTATTGTAAGTGTACTAGTTTAAGAAATAAATATAATTTAGTGAAGGAGTTATTCTGAGTATAGTGTCGGTGTGGGTGAGCTGGAGTCCATAAATATACAAGATTTAGTGAAGGAGTTCATCCGAGGTTGTGAGCACGTATAGCGCTGTGCACTGTTGTGTGCGCGCGCTTCACCTGCAGTCGGTACGGGGCGGGGTGCGCTTGAGGCGGGCGCGCTCGATGCCGGGAAAGATCTCATGCAGGCAGGGGATGCGCGCCTGCACGTATAGCGCTGTGTGCGCGTGTGTGTGCGTGTGCGTACGTGCGTGCGTGTGTATGAGCGTGTGTGTATGTACGTGCGTGCGCGCGTGTGTATGCGTGTGTAGTGTATGCGTGTGTGTGCGTGTGTGTGTGTGCTTGTGTGTGCGTGTGTGTGTGTGCGTGTGCCTCACCTGCGGTCGGCGCTGGGCGGGGTGCGCCACACGGCGGACGAGGTGCGCTTGAGGCGGGCGCGCTCGATGCCGGGGAAGATCTCGCGCAGGTCGGGGCTGTGCGCGCGCACAGAGAACAGCCGGTCCACCAGCCCCTCGCGGATGCGCGACTGTATGTATAGACGCAACCGGCGCGCCTGCAATAATATCATCATCATCATTACAGCCCTTTACAAGTCCACTGCTGAACATAGGCCTCCCCCAAGGATGCCACAAAGCACGGTCCTGAGCAGTGGCGAAGCTAGAGCTCCAAGCTATGGCAAGCCCAAGATATAAATTGATAAAAATATAGATTGTTGTTTTTAGCAGTTTTATAAAAATACACCAATCTCGATCTGTCTCCACACTTCAGTTTCATATTCAGTGCTGTCAAGGATGTGTTTAACAAAGCACACAGAAGGCATACCACTGCTAGATAGATTGTATTACATATCAGCAATTGCATAGCTTGGCTTTGAAGAAAGCCGTTTGGGTTTGTTTAAGCGAAAGAAAAAAAATATTTACATCCAATACAATACATGAACAAAAGTAAAACACGAACAAAGTACAAACTATGTACAAAATTAAAAAAAATATATTTACATTCTAATGGATAAGAGAAAAGATAAGATAAGTGGAATCGTCTTGCTTTCTTATGGAAAGATTTAATTACGTCCACGTAAAATGTTGGTGAACGTTTTAATTGTACCAATAACTGTTTTTTAACTGCGATAATTGATAAGTCTGAAATACACTCTTAACCTTGTGTATTATCTCAACAAAGTTTAAAGATTTCCTCTCCGATTATCACTTTAACACACTTAAATTCATCACAAGGAACACTATTATCCTACATTTTCATTAAAAATCTTTAAAAAAGCATAAATTTTGAACTCGTAATATTAAATCGCTTAAGATAAGCACAAAGAGTAAATAAACATTGAAACGTGAAATGAACTTGCAAACGTATTGCCCGCGCGCCTCCGCTTTTAACAAATTTATTCCCAAAAGCCTGGCTTTAAATCTCTATACTAATTGCTATATATACAATCGTAGTTATATTTCATTATAGAATATTTTGCCATAGGTTAGAAAGAGAGCGATCGTCTTCTCGAAAGCCCCGTAAAAAGCCCACGCGAGCGAGGGAGACAACTATTAGCTCTATTTAAAACTCATTTTTTATGACAGCAGCAGTATCGCTAAGGCAATACGAGGTCATCGGTCAAACAGTGGAGTGCGCGGGAAATTTGAAATAGCTTGAAACATTTTACGAGTTATTTTATTAGTTGATATTATTGATTGATTCAGGTTTAATAAGGCAAGCCCGGCTTTTCGGCTTTATTGGAAGCTTCGCCACTGGTCCTGAGCCACCTGTATCCATCGACTTCTTTCATGTTTTACCAGGTCGTCACTCCAAGTGGGGAGTCGCCCTACACTTAGCGGTACGACGCTGCCACTCGAGAACCTTTTTTCCTTATAGGTTTTCGTTTCTTCGAGCTATATGGCCGGCCCATTGCCACTTCAGCTAATTAATCCGTTGGGCTATGTCGGTCACTCTGGTTCTACTGCAGATATACTCATTTCTAAGTTTATTACGCAGAGAAACCCCAAGCATAGCCCTTTCCATAGCTTGCTGAGCTACTTTGTGCGTCCTCATACGGCCAGCAGTGAAGGACCACGTCTCAGATCCATAAGTCATCACTGGCAACAGGCTCCCAACGGATAGGTCTTAATATGAACATGGACAAAACAAAGATCATGTTTAATGTCCATGTCACACCTATGCCGGTAGTTGTTGGGGGCACTATGCTCGAAATTGTTGACGAGTACGTTTACCTGGGACAAATAGTCCGACTAGGTAAGTCCAACTTCGACCGAGAGGTCAATCGACGGATTCAACTCGGCTGGGCAGCGTTCGGGAAATTACGACACATCTTCTCGTCAGGTATACCTCAATCTCTGAAAACTAAAGTGTACAACCAGTGCGTGTTGCCAGTGATAACTTACGGATCAGAGACGTGGTCCTTCACTGCTGGCCGTATGAGGACGCTCAAGGTCGCTCAGCGAGCTATGGAGAGGGCTATGCTCAGAGTTTCTCTGCGTGATAGATTCCGAAATGAGGATATCCGCAGTAAAACCAGAGTGACCGACATAGCCCAACGGATTAGTAAGCTGAAGTGGCAATGGGCCTGCCATATAGCTCGAAGAACCGATAACCGATGGGGAAGAAACATTCTCGAGTGCCAGCCTCGTACCGGTAGGCGTAGTGTAGGGCGACCCCCCACTAGATGGAGTGACGACCTGGTAAGACATGCAGGAAGTCGGTGGATGCAGGTGGCTCAGGACCGTGCTTTGTGGCATTACTTGGGGGAGGCCTATGTTCAGCAGTTGACTTGTGAAGGGCTGTAATGATGATGATGATGATACAAGTAAGAAAGAGATAACAAATGAGAAGTGAATCACTCAAATTCATGCACGTAAAAATGACCACTAAGACTAACTAAGACACACACGTATCAAATACTATACGGTCGTTTTTTGCATATAATGTTTTCATTAACAAGTTGTTATTTTACGTTGATCCGACACTTCTCAAATTGTTTATGTTCGGTCGCGCCTGTTTACGAAAACATACAGAGTTCTGTTTAGAATTTCTTTGCGTAATGATTATTGTGACTTACTTTCTTCCTTTTCATCATAAATAATACGCCAGCTGGCCGTAAATTAAGGACTAGCCACCAGTCCTAAGCCTGGATAAAGCATGAAGGAGGATCGATTTTAAATTCAACCTTAATACGTTACACAATAAATGACAATAAAGATAAAGTATACATATATAAACACTCACGCCTGTCACCCAGAGGGGTAGGCAGAGACTACGGACTTCCATTTGACACGATCCTGACACCACATATGACACGACCTGACATCCATATATCTACGCATACATGCTCGTCGGTTAAGGGTACTTCTAACGTGGCCCATTTTCAAAATATCGCCAATTTGTTCGATAAACGTTTTTCTAGGGCGTCCCTTCCCGACTCGGCCATTCACATCTGCCATATAAATTTGCTTTGTCACTCTTTCCTCATTCATTCTTTCTACATGACCAAACCATCGAAGCATTCCTTTCTTAATCCTGGTCACAACATCATCTTGCATACCACATTTATCTCTTATCACGCAATTTCTCACCCTGTCATTCAAATTCAACCCTAGTATATTCCTTAAAGACCGCATTTCTACAGCATTTATTCTACTTTCGTGCTTCTTCTGCCACACCCAGCTTTCACTACCATACATTAAAGTAGGGACTAACACAGCATTATGAATTACCATACATGCCTTTTTTTGACACATTCTGGTTCTTCATAATAGAGTATAGTGCCCCATTCACTCTATTCCCTGCATTTACTCGTCGTTCTATATCCCTATCATATCTACCATCCCTGCTAAATACACAAACTCATCCACTTGCTCAATTAACTCTCCTTCTATTCTTATTTCACATACCGTTTTGCTTTCTTCTCTTTCAAAAACCATCACTTTCGTCTTACTTGCGTTCACTTTCATTCCCCTTTCTTTTAATTCCCAGTTCATTAATGTAACCATCATTTGCAACTCAGCCGCCGATGACGCAAATATGACTTGATCATCGGCATACAGAAGGCATTTGACGGTTAACTCGCCCATTCTTAACCCAAATTCTTCATCTTTCAAAGTTTGCAAACACCTGTCCATAAATAGATTGAACAGCCAAGGGGAAGCTACACAGCCCTGTCTAACACCTTTTTGGATGCCAAACCAGTCCGAGTAGACCCCATTGATCCTGACAAAAGCACTAGAGTTCCTATAAAGAGACCTTAATGCCTGTATCAAACCAGCGCTCAACCCATATGAGTTCAGTGTTTGCCATAACACATTCCTGTCCACTCTGTCATAAGCCTTTTCCAAGCCCATGAACGCACAAAACACTTTCTGGTTTTTGGACAAAAACTTCTCCGCAATCACGCGCATGGAAAAGTCTTGATCTGTACACCCCATTCCCTTTCTAAAACCCGCTTGCACATCCCAAATTTTTCCATCAGTTTCTTTCATAACTCTTTCAATTAACATCTTAGCATACAGTTTACCCACAATACTAAGCAAGCTGATACCACGGTAGTTTTTGCAGTCCTGCTGTGACCCTTTTTCTTTATATATTGGTACTATAACTGCTTTACACCAGTCATCCGGTACCCGTTTTAATTCCCAACATAAATTAAACAAGGTGTACAGCAGGCCTGCCACCACTCCCTCTCCAGCCCTTAGCATCTCGAGTGATACTCTATCATATCCAGCTGCCTTACCTGCTTTCATGCTTTTCATTGCTTTCATTTTTTCATCTACACTTATCTCCATATCCCTTCCCACTACTTTCGGAATTTCTAGTTCATTTAATTCAGACGACTCTTCACTCATAAACACGCTTTCAAAGTATTCCTTCCATCTGTTTAAATTCGAAACTTCATCATTCAGAATACATCCATTCTCGTCTCTTATAGCATTAATTATAGGCTGTTTTGTATTTCCCCTGGCAGTTCTTACGAATTTCCAGAACATTTTTATGTTAGCCTGGAAATTATCAGATATCCTTCTATCATTCTTATCCGTTCTTTCTTTCTTTTTCCTTTCAACAACTTCTTTTACTCTCTTATTTAGACGTCTAAATTCTGCCTTTTTTCTTTCAATCTCATCATTCATACCACCAGAATTACCAGCTTTGGTTGCTAGTAAATCTAACCATGCTTTCTTCTTTGATTCAACTTCCACCCGTACCTCATCATCCCACCACAACGTATTACTTTCATTTGTTCTCTTACTTACACCACATACTTCGGTGGCGGCATCCACCAAACCTTTCTTAATATTATCCCACACAGTATTCAAGTCTAAATCATTCATACACAACTCATTCAAACATCTAATATTTTCTCTCAGTCTACATTTATACTTCTCTTTCACATCTACATCTTGTAACTTCTCTATTCTTATACGCTGTAACACAGTCGTAGACACAGATGTCCGATGCCGCCAACGCTTGAAAAGACCATGAATTCGACATAAGACCAAGTAATGATCCGTCACTACGTTGGCCCCCCGGTAAACCCTTGTATCT